TATTGAATAAAAGAAGGAATAGTCAGTAGGTAAAGATTTTGTGAGCATTTGTATAGAGGTAATCCAAAGCGCTGATGGGAAAATGATCTTGGAAGAGAGAAAGTACCTTTTCAGTTATAATGAGAGGAAGTATGTGTCTGCAAGTTTGTATGTTTAGTAACAGGAATTAAAGAAGTTCTTATCTGATAACCTCTGCTTTCTCTGTGAAATAAGAGATGAGGTAGTTTCTTTTTGTGTGTTTTTTAAAAAAATTTATGCAAACAAGAACTGGGGTGTAGGCCAAAGATGGGGGAGGAGAGGATACACCAGAGACAGTGGGGAGCAGCAGATCAGGTGGATCTACTGAAGTACACTGCTGAGGGGAGCAACGGGCGAGACAGGAGAGGTCTGCTTCACCATGTGGGCACCTCCCTGGCTGGGGATCCAACTCAGGTGCTGCAGTAGCTGCAGATAGCTTTATAGTGCTGATGCTTAACCCCTTGCGCTACCAGGGAGGCCCAAGATGAGGTAGTTTTGCAACAGGGTGGTCCCCAGGAAAGGGGGAGGTTTATCTTTTCTCTGCACCATTAGCCTAGCCTTCGCCTCCGCCATATCTAATTTATGGAGGGCGGCCTGCATCTGGTCCTGCATACCTTTAAAAGCTGACTCAAAAGTCCGATTTTGTTGTTGCACTTGATACAGCATGCTTTGATAAGCTGACTCAAAAACGTTACGATTTTCATCCCTTATACTCTTAATAGTTAAATCAAAAGCCTGATTTTGTTGTTGTATGGCCACGTTAAAAGCCTAAATTTGTTGTTGCATGGCTATGTTAAGAGCCTGAATGTGTTGTTGCACATTCTCAGTATGTGAAGTAGAACTTCTACCTCTCACAGAAACAAGAATGTAGCAAATTGTGCTTACACATATTACCAAAAAACCACCCAGAAGCACAGTCTGTAAAGGGATGGCTTGTAAACCACCCATGTATGTATACAATAGTAAAATCACATGCCATACACCAGGCTTCATCAAATTATTTTATATTAATGAAACTGGTGGTGATATTTAATGGAAGAAGGCTACTCAAATTCAAGGCCGGAAGGAAACTGAAAGAACTCAGGCTAGGGATGAAACTGTATAGGCTCATGGTTGAGGCCATATTTCAGTCAAAACACACCCACAAGGGCTGTACGCAGGGAAAAAACAGACTTTTCAGGACTAGAGACAAATATTATACTGCTAGTCCTGCAGAACTAGTGCACTTATGGTGACCAACGCAAGGAATGTTACTTTGGGCTGGTCAACCGCGGGTGTAACTTGGAAACCATGCTGGGCGCCAAACTGTTGTAGAGCAACCCCGATACGAAACGGGGTGCCTGACTGTGGGTCCTCACCCGCGCGCTTAAAAGGACTTATCAATGCTCTACTGCAGGCACACGCGAAAGGTTAATAAAAGGTTTATTTACAAGGGAAGGGGAAATGAGGAAATGTACAGCTCTGGGAGAAAGTGGGAGACAAAGTTTTAAATGAGTCCTACCCGATCCGCCGATCAGGAATCCCAAAATGGCGCTCTCAGAGTTGGCCGCCAGCCAGGAGCGGTGAAGCCAGGAGGCGAGCGATCGCGAGCCAGAGAGACCCCAAGGCCACGTGTTTGGTTTTTATATCCAACCTGGCTGCCCAACTCCACCCTCAGGTCCCAGCCACCCTCCCTTTGGTGGTGATGGGATTTGTCTTTCCCAATGTCCTGATGGCTTTAGTCTGGAGTGGGGGTGGAGTCCACAAAGCCTGTATGGGATTAACTCAGGACATCATTTCCCCCTAACAATTCCCCCCTTTCACTTTTTGCCACCATTTCCATGGTGATGAAGATCAAACATATGGATGCTGGGATACAGTCTCAGATGAAAACTTTCCAGGGTTCCAGTCTGAAAGAAAACGAATCCCTCCAGGTATTGTCCATTGTGGAAAGCAAAAGTCCTCCATTCCTGGAAAAACAGTTCATCAGTCCCAGCCGAAAGAAAACATCTGGAGGCATTAGCCAGAACAAGACAGCAGATGCTCCAAATTTTTTTCTTTTGGCTTGCATAATGGACTATTTTTAAGTAATAAAACTGTCATACTGGACATTCATGGACAATGCTGCTGACTAATTGTTGCTTCTCTTACACACATTGTAACCCTGAAAAAAGACTGTCTCCTAAGACTACACCCTGAGATTGTGCCACCATAGATATGGTGGAATAAAAATTAAAAGGGGGGATTGCAACAGGGTGGTCCCCAGGAAAGGGGGAGGTTCCCTGCCCCAACCAAGGGAGGGTGGAGCTGAGCAGGAAGAGGAGAAGCTGCAGAAGAGACTGAGGAAGGAAGGAAGCAGGGTGGAGCCAGAAGGAGACCTGGAGGAGGCACATGGAGCCTAGAGACACGTGAAGAAACTGCGCTTGTCTTTTGGTTGTGGACTGGGTGACACAGATGTGGGTGAGACCCATGGGGGGGTGACCATGGCAGCTTTTATCTTGATGTTGATTTTGCTCTTTTCCTTCCGGGCTTGTCCGGTTGTTTGTGACCCTTTTCTGTGGGTCCCCACTGGAAGGTGCTTTAGACTCATGGCAGGCTTTGGGGCCTTGCTCTGGGCCAATCCCATTTGGATGGACTTTTACCCACGAGGGGACGGGTAACTCTGGATGCTTCACTTAGAAACTAGACTCTTTGCCTTACCTGTATTGTTTCCTAGTTTTATTAAAGTTCCTTCCCATTAAAGTCTCCTATATTTTGTGTTGATGCGGCGGATGGCAGAACCCATTTAGAATAGGCAGGTTTGCGGGGTTTTGGGCTGCCCCTCTCCCTGTCCTATAACAGATTCTGATAGAAAAGGAACTGGAAGCTTTAAAGAAAAGTAGTGAAGATGTGGAATGTTGTAGAATATGATAGAGTATATTGACCAGAGAAAGTAGTAGGATAGGTAAGCAGATTTCAGGACTATATAGGACTGATAAGAATAGGGCCTCCCCGGTGGCGCAGCGGTGAGCGCTGGGTTGCGAAGCTGCCCGCGGCGTCTGCGGCGCCGGTTCGATCCCCGGCTGCTCCCCGGCCACCGGAGGAGGGTCCCACATGGCGCGCAGACCTCTCCTGCCGCCCGCTCCCCCCAGCAGTGTACTTCGGTCCTTCTGCCTGCTCTGCTCCTCGCTCTGGGCTCTGGTGAATTCTCTCACCCTCCCGCGCTTCTGACTGTACCCAGTGCATGTATAAACAAAAAAACAACAAACAAATAAATAAATAAATAAACATGCCTCTATTAAAAAAAAAAAAATAATAAGAATAATCTTACTAGTTTCTCTCTCCCTGTGTGACTTTCTCAAGTATTAAACACTTCTTCAGGGCAGAAGTGGAGAAAGTGCATAATTGAGTTCATTTAGGATTGGTATGGTCACTGGTATATAGCCTTAGTTCTTAATCAGGGCATTTTTGTCCTCCAGAGAACACTTGGCAGTGTCTGGAGACATTTTTGATTCCCAAGGTGACAGTGAGGTGATGGTGGGAGGGGGAAGTAAGGGAGTACTACTGGCATCTAATATTTAGGGATGCTGCCAAACATCCTACAATGCACACACAGGGCAGCACCAGAATTTTCTCCAAGATGCCAATAGTGCAAGACTGAGAAACACTAGTCTTGGATTACCTTGTTGCTAACCAACAGCTGACTTCGGTCTTCTAAAGGCTTTTCCTTGGACTATGGCCCTGAGCATATAGGTAAAGCGGCTCTTCCACTGCATGCCTTTAAAGGAGAGTAGAATGAGCAACATAACCAGACCTTGAGTGTTTCAAGGACTTGTGATGTCACAAATACAGAATTGGAATAGTTCCTCAATCCTCTAGAAGCAAATCTGGATTTACACATAAGATGGAGGTATCTGTTTATTTTGATTTGAGGCACTGTCTTGTTAAACAGAATCTATTAAAACTTCAGTAACATTGGGGGAGTAACATTTCACATTATTAGTCTTAATGTAACTTGGATTCAGTGACTAATTCTTGTCACTAATATAGGATCCTGAGGGAATGAGTGTGGGCTAATAATAAATAGAAATTGATTAGCGATTAATAAGGTATTGATCATTGGTACTGATGGAATGCTTGTTCTATGATAGGCACTATTCAAGGGTAGATATTTGAAATGTTATTTCATTTATCCCAGCGATACCCTAAGAGGTAAGATACCACCTTAATTTACTTTGACAGTTTGTAATTTGATCAAAGCCATAAATCGCCATTAGCTGGTATCAAGATTTGAACACAGGGTTATCTGTTCTTGCACCTTCTACCAAGCTTTTCAGTAAGCTTCACAAGGAAGGAAGGGTCGGAAATTAGCCAAAACGGTTCTAATTTCTTAAAAGGAATGGTGGGTATTTAGGACGGAACAGAGGGAGGCCTGGAAAAATAAAAGAGAATAAAAACGGAAACAAGAAAGCTAGTCACACAGCAGTCCAGCGAGGCGCAGTAACTCCTCTCAAGCCGCCCTGTTCTCCTGGAGGAAACCCTCCACCCTCCATGTCGGTTGTTCACGCTCTTGTGTTCCAATAAAGCTCGATTGTTGACAAAGGCGGACTGCAAAGAAAAAAAAAGTCAAAGCGCGACAGCGCGGTTGTGCGCCTGCGCGCTGGCGGCGGCGGCGGTGCCCGGCGGGGAGCGGGTCCCGAGCGGGCCGCGGGGCCCAAATCGAGGGGGGTGGGCGACGGGGGCCTGAGGAAGCTCCCTCGCCGGGGCCTCAGCGGCCTGATGGAGTAAGAAGGGTCGGCTTGAGTGTGAGTATCGAGGGGCCGGGCTGCTTAGTGGCCTCTCGGAGCCCGCAGGGCCGGGGGGTCTCCGCGTCGGGAGGTGCGGGCTGCGGCCGCCGCCGGGTTCCTGCGTCTGCGGGCGGCGCGGGGCAACCCCGTCATCCTCTCGCCTAGAGCCGGCGCGGGTTTATGGGCGGGCGGTGCTTCTGGCTTCAGGGTACAGATTCTCGCGGGGGCGTTTCAGCCCTGCTCCCAGCTCCAGCAGGAAGCCTGGCTGCAATCCTTGACCTTTAGGGAAGGCCGCTGACCTCCTTGGGCCCCCAGTGCAGCAGGAATCCCACAGACCAAGGTGCTTAAGGCCTGCAGGTCTGAGGCCAGCAACACCTTCCGACCTCCCGTAAGTGACAGCCTCCTTTCTTTTTTCCACTTTCGGTCTTCTGTCCCCGTGAGATGCGTCTTAGTAACAGCTACTAATTATGGAGCGCTTACTATGTGTCGGTTTAATAGTTAACCTGAATCTTAGTGCATAATTATGGAGGGGAAATGTTTTGCACATCCCCCCCAACCCCCCTTGGATTCAATTTAATTATCTTTGAAAGTCAAAATAACCATCTTGTTGGGAAGTTTGAAATTTCCATGTTCTTTTTAGCAACTCGGGACTGCCATCCTAATTAAGGGAAATCCTTAGCTAACAAACCAGTGCTTTATCCACCATAATAGTTTATATCTAATTTGCTCAAGTCAAAAAACTGTTGAGCACTTACAGGGGCCAAGTAATGGCTCTAAACCTTGTCTTCTTAAGTTTGGTGTTGAATGAATCCACGGGAGATAATGTTTCCATTCAGCTTGGATTTATTTGCATCTATTACACATTTGCCAGATTCACTTCGGTCTGTAACAAAAAATTGAGATATTGTAATGGAAGGTGGTTTTATGGAGCACATTTCAGAAGTCTCAGAGTTTGGTTGTAATTTGCTCAAGATAACATAACCATTAAAAGGTAAAATTAACATATGATGCCACAGCTCATCCTTTCCCTGTTATACCAACTTAGATGTTATAAACACTAAGTTCAGAACCAATTGCTTAGATTAAAAGAAAGATTTAAAAAGGAAAGACTGAATGGTGATTGTTGTACACCCAGGGTTAGGGCCCATGTAGTCTGTACTCTCCTGTACACAAGAAGGACGGAATAGCGGTAGATGCTAGCAGACTTATTTCTGGGACCAGAAATGGCTCAGGGAGGAGTATACAGAATTGTGTCTTTTGCAATTGGAGTATGTAAGCGGGAAGTTTAGGATTAATTTGTGTTTGCAGTGAATAAGGGCAAACAAGTTACATATGAATACTCCAGTTGTACTTGCCTAAACCTCTCATTGAATTTACAGTCAAATGGGTTTTTTCCTCTTCTTTCTTTTCTTTTAAAGATTTATTTATTTATGCATACGAGAGTGGGGGTGAGAGGATCCACCAGAGACAGAGTGGGGAACAGAACAGGCACACTAACTGAAACACACTGCTGAGGGGAGCAGCAGGTGAGTCAGGAGAGGTCTGCGCCCTGTGGGTTTCTCCCTGGCTGGCTGGGGATACAACTCATGCTGCAGAGGCTGTGGATTGCTTCATAGTGTGGTGCTTAACACCTTGCACCACCAAGGAGGCCCCCTCTTATTTCTTAATCTGAGCAAACTGAAGAAATGAGAGTGTCCTGGGTGTTCATCAGTAGGGTACTGGCTAAATAAATTATGTATCTCTTAGAAACAATGAGCCAGTCCTCTGTGTGCTAATACTGATTTATCTCCAAGATATATTAAGTGGGAAAAAAGTGCATAGAGGATGTGCAGTTTGCAGCCATTTGTAGTTTTTAAAAATATGTGTATTTGCATATATATGTATAGACTCTCTCTGGAAGGATACATGAGAAACTGGTTAACAGTTGCTGGAGGTGGAGGTGGAGGTGGAGGCACTGGGAAATGGGAGGGGAATCGCTTTCTTTATAAGCTTTAATTTTTTTCTTTTTTTAAAAAAATAGGAAATCACTTTTTTTTTTAAAGATTTATATGAAAGGATTCACCAAAGAGAGTGGGGAGCAGAACAGGCTGATCTACTGAAATACACTGCTGAGGGGAGCAGTGGGCTAGACAGGAGAGGTCTGCTGTGCCATGTAGGCTGCTCCCTGGCCTACTGGGGGTTCAACTCCTGCTGCAGTGGCTGTGGATGGCTTCACGGTGCTGTGCTTAACCTGCACCACCAGGGAGGCCCCAACTATAATTATATTTAAAAAGACAAAGCTCGAGCCTCCCTGGTGGCACAAGGGGTTAAGCACAGCACTATGAAGCTATCTGCAGCCTCTGCAGCACTAGTTCGAGCCCGGCAGGCCAGGGAGCTACCCACATGGCACAGCAGACCTCTCCTGTCTGGCCCACTGCTCCCCTCAGCAGTGTATTTCAATCTGCCTGTTCTGTTCCCCACTCTGTGTCTGGTGAATCATCTCATCTCCCCTTCCCCCCATCTCAGGCCCATACCCCAGTTCTTGTATGCATAAATAAATAAATCTTTTTTTTAAAAAAGACAAAGCTCATTGTGAGAAATTGCTTCTTTTTCTTTTTTTTTTTTTTTTTTTTATAAAACTTTTTTTTAATATTTTTTATTTATTTATTTTTTATAGAGGCATGTTTTATTTATTTGTTTGTTTGTTTGGTTTATACATGCACTGGATACAGTCAGAAGTGCGGGAGGGTGAGAGAATTCACCAGAGCCAGAGCGGGGAGCAGAGCAGGCAGAAGGACAGAAGTACACTGCTGAGGGGAGCAGCGGGCGGCAGGAAAGGTCTGCGTGCCATGTGGGACCCTCCTCAGTTGGCCGGGGAGCAGCCGGGGATCAAACCGGCGCCGCAGAGGCCGCGGGCAGCTTCGCAACCCTGCGCTCAACCGCTGCGCCACCGGGGAGGCCCACAAAGTCATCTTTTTCCCCCACCTTACTCTTTGTAAACTATAAACTCATATGTAAATGTAAAATTGTTATTATTCTTAGTATTTATGCTACTTGTCTCTATCTCTTTGGACAGGTAATAAGTATCTAATGAGACTATACTTATTGGCATATAAACTGGGATACATCTATGTAGGGTAGATAGTCTGTGATGAACCATTGTGAAAGTTAAAAAATATGTGAAAGTCAAACTTCATGTGATTTCGTAGTTCCAAAATAGTTCTGTCCATGAAACCATTAAGCAGTATTGATTCTTGGGCCTAAAATCTTCTAGGTTTAAAAAAAAATGAGTTTATTAGATAGATAGATAGATAGATAGATAGATAGATAGATAGATATAGCATTATTGCTTAAGTATTTAGAAATTACAAAAGGGTAAATCATTTAAGAAGTAAATCACTGACACCCAGGCCCTCTGGATTTTCAAATTTACTTCTCTCATGACATTGATACTGATATTATTTTTATTTTACAAATGTGGAAACTGAAGCACCGAGAGATTAAATTACCTGCTCAAGATCACACAACTAGTGAGCAGTGGAGACAGGTTTCAGACACAAGCAGACTGGCTACAGAGATTTTTGCACTTAATTTTTACTCTAATCCAATGGTTTTTCAGAGAGTTTGGGGTCATCCCAAGGAGGTTTGGAAATTTGTGGAGGTATTTTGTGATTTCAGAATAACTGGGAGGGTGACTGATTTTAGTGGATGGAGCTGAGGGATATTAGACATCTAACCATGTGAGGCACACCCCTGCATGGTATAAAGAGTTGTTCTACATCTTGCATCATTTTCAGATGTCTCAGAGGATATTCACATAGATGAAAAATCTGTTTATGATTATTTGAGACTAGAACCAGATTTCTTTCTTTCTTTTTTTTTTCTGCTTTTTCTTATTATAGATCTATTTTATTTATTTATGCATACAAGAGCTGGGGAGTAGGCCAGAGGTATGGGGTGGTGGTGAGAGGATTCACCAGAGACAGAGTTGGGAGCAGAACAGGCAAATCTACTGAAATACACTGCTGAGGGGAGCAGTAGGTGAGACAGGAAAGGTCTGGTTGCTTCCTGGCTGGAGTTGGGGATCAAACTCATGCTGCAGTGCTGCAGTAGCTTCAATGTGCTGAGACTTAACCCCATGTGCCACCAGGGAGGCCTCAAGGAAAAAATTTTAAAGAAACAAATTAGTTTTATTTATTTATTTATTTATTTATTTATTTATTTATTTATTTATTTATTTATTTATTTAAGAAATACAGGCCAGATGCATGGGAGGGTAAGAGGATTCACCAGAGACAGAGCTGGGAACAGACTGATGAAATACACTGCTGAGGGGAGCAGTGAGTGAGACAGGAGAGGTCTGCCCCGCCATGTCGGACCGGACCCTCGCCGCCTGCCGGGATAGAACCGGTGCTGAGAGGCTGCGGACAGCTTCACAGTACTGCTCTCAACTGCTTGCGCCACCTGGGGAGGCCCTAAAGGAACAAATTAAATGTGATCATAGCTGGGCAAACTTACTGGTGTACACGCTGGGGATTGTTATACTAATCCTTTGTATTTATGTATGAATGAAAAAGTCCATAATAAAGTATTTTAGGAGAAAGAGAGCTTAGTATGTCTGATATAGGTGAGAGTTGCTATTCTGCCTGCCTCAAAAATAGTCACGCTGTGACTACAAAGTGGTACAAAGGGGGTACAGGATTTTAGAAGAATACTGTATAATGAGGGTATATGACCAAGTTTGGGTGATGACGGATGCTTCCCCAGTCAAGTGAAATTTGGATTGAGATTTGAAGAATGAGTAGTTAGCTAGATGAAAGGAATAGAAGCATTTCAGTATGAAAAAGTCCTATGGGTGGAGTGTGGTGGGTAGGAAGAACTGAAAAATACCATTTTATCTGGAGCATAGAGACTTGGGGCAAAGTTGCTTTCTGTAAATTCATTTTGCGTTCCTATAGAGTACATATTAGCAAGGACCATACCAAATAGTCCTTTAAATATTTTGGTTTATATCTTAAATAACCAGTTGCCATTGAAGG